TGGGAAAATTCTACTACCAGTCCTTCATCACCTTACACGAAATAGGGTGAATACATCTCATTATATTTTTATTGTGAACCTGGAAAGAGAAAAGGATAGGTCCTTACCCTTTCTCGATGCTGTGCTCATTAGGGAAGAGGGTAAGTTAGGAAGAGATGTTTATAGGAAGCATACGTATTTTGGCTCTTTTATCAAGTTTATCCCATTTCTCTGTGGAACATATCTGGTTCTTTCTCTTCCGCCATAGCAGTCATAATAATTTTCGGCATCGAACAGTTCACATGCTGCATTGCCACAAGTCATGTCGACAAGTTCAATGCATTTTAACCCTGAGCAACGGATGGCACCTCCTATTGAAGATGCTGGCGAAATGTCCGAGGCTGGAGATCAGCATGAGTTACCAGGCAAAAGACTCAGGACCAGGCATGCTCCACTAGATCTTCCTGTCTCTGTTGACAACACAATTATTCACACTCATAAGTAGGTTTGCGAGACTGCCAGTAGCTCGTATTAACGAAATGTATTCACCTTCTTTCGTTCAGGTGATGAAGGACTCGTAGCTGAATTTTCCCACAAGCATATGAGTAGACCTACTTTTTTCATTCATTTTGGCATAGCTTAACTTTTCCAAAAGACTGAAGTGGCTTTCAGCTTCGACTCATCAGCAATCCCAGCGGGACTCGATCCATGACAGTGCGGGTATGATCTCGACGCCTTAGACACTATGCCACACTGTGACAGGTCCCCTTAGGTCACAGGGAAAAGAGGTACAGACTTTTCTGTGATGGCATTGTCGATGAAGCAAAGTTATAATTGCTATGGCAATTGGCTGCATTATTTATTTTTTGTTATTCTTCATCTCATGTGATCTAGTGGTAGTCTCGATAACCTATTTATAAAAGAAAAATAAGTATTTTAATTGATCGAAACAGCAATTAAAATTCTGTTTTTAGTGTCTCTAAACGATAAAACGCCTGCACTATGCAACCCTAAATTTGGAGGTCGCAAAAATAAGGAAGAAAATGAAAAATAGTATTACAAAGTGTCCTATTTAGAAACGGCTGAATACAGTTTGGGGGGCTGACAATAGAAAGACACGCGTTGAACGGCGGAGCGAAATGGAAAATTCTGAACTCTGCGGATCACAATGGAGGTTAAAAAGAGGAGGAAGAAAATGTAATCAGTCTAAACAGTATGTTAGCTATTTGATATACCATTGCGTAGTTTTCCATGTCAACTTCTGATTGGGCGATGCGGTATCAAGCTTTCATTGGTCGAGTGAAGATCAGTTTTACATGTACTTGGTGCATTGCCAGACGTTTCGTCGGCATCGTCCCTTTCACGAATTGTGGTGTGGTGCTAAAAATGGCAAGGCTTACTGATGGCGCCGGCGAAATGTCTGGGAATGTGCCAAGTTCACGGTCCGATTATTGAAATCATCATGCATATTAGTGACTCGGGACAAGGTGGTTTCCTCCAGGTCTTCCTAC